CTAGCCCAGTGTTTCCCAGAGTTAAGTCATTTTCACATATCCTACGAGAATTTTGCCATAATGATGCACTTTGTTACCATTATATGCTTACTATTTTTCTTTATCTCACTTTTATTTTAAAAGAAAAATCTATCACCAATATTAATTTTTCCTAGAAATACAATTGATTTTATGTGTTGACCATGTTATCTTTTAAAAAATATTTTATTTATTTATTTATTTATTTTGGCTGCGCCAGGTCTTCGTCGTGGCACGCAGGATCTTTTAGTTGCGGCATGCAGGCTTCTTAGTTGTGGCATGTGGACTTCTTAGTTGCAGCATGCATGTGGGATCTAGTTCCCCAACCAGGGAATGAACCCAGGCCCCCTGCATTGGGAGCACAGAGTCTTACCCACTGGACCACCAGGGAAATCACTCATCAATATTCATTTTTAAAGTTTCATAGACAGAAAGTAATCATCAGAAAATATCATAGGGCTTCCCTGGTGGCGCAGTGGTTGAGAGTCCGCCTGCCGATGCAGGGGACACGGGTTCGTGCCCCGGTCTGGGAAGATCCCACGTGCCGCAGAGCGGCTGGGCCCGTGAGCCATGGCCGCTGAGCCTGCACGTCCGGAGCCTGTGCTCCGCAACGGGAGAGGTCACAACAGTGAGAGGCCCGCGTACCGTCAAAAAAAAAAAAAAAGAAAATATCATGAAGAAATATATAAATTCTAGCCAATTATTGTTATCTACAAAGTTTTAAGCCTGAGGCCTGCTCTCTCTTAAAAAAGGGAAATTAATCACACAATAATAGAGAGATGTTAAAGCCATAAGCACAAAACTAAAACTTTCTCCCTAAAGTATTAAAAAGGGGATAACTCTCACACTATGCAATTCAATATTTAACGTCATATCAGTGTAACACGTAAAACCATCTACAGTACCACTAATGGTAAGTGTCCAACATTTTGGGGGACACTCTAGTTAGAGAGAGATGCATGTAAACAAATCATTATTATATAGTTTCATTAGTGCTATGTAAAGACATTTGGAATACTGTGTAGGATATGATGGAAACAGATTAGTCCTCTGTAGGGAAAGGAGACTGCAATTTATTTTAGAGAAAATGATGTTTGAGATATTTATTGAAGGATGAATACAAATTTACCAAGAAATAGAAAAATCAGGGCGTTTCAGAGAAAGTGAACCAGATGAGAAAAGGCACAGTGTGGCGGGAGCAGTATGGTGTGCTGAACTATGGGAGAGGGAAGAATGAATGTTAAAGAGGTTGGAATGGAAACCAGGAGACAAATTTTTAGAGGATCTGTATGTATACCATGCCAAGGAGCTTTGGCTTAATCCTTCTGGCAATGGGACTCCATCACAAGTTTTTAAGCAGGGGATTATGAAGATCAGATCTGTGTTTCATGAGGATGATTCTGACAGAAATGCAGAGCATGAGTTGGAAGGAGTAGTGAAGTAGAAACTGGTATAAGAAGATCAGTTAAAAGGTTCTTGCATGTGATAAGTTTCCTCTCTCTCTCTTCTTTTTTTCATATGTCTGGGAGTACATTCTTGTATTTATTTATTTGCGTTGGGTCTTTGTTGCTGCACACAGTCTTTCTCTAGTTGCATCGAGAAGGGGCTACTCTTTGTTGCGGTGCATGGGCTTCTCATTGCAGTGGTTTCTCTTGTTGAGGAGCTTGGGCTTTAGGCACGCGGTCTTCAGTAGTTGTGGCACATGGGCTCAGTAGTTGTGGCGCATGGGCTTAGTTGCTCCGTGGCATGTGGGATCTTCCTGGACCAGGGATCAAACCCATGTCCTCTGCATTGGCAGGTGGATTCTTAACCACTGCGCCACCAGGGAAGTCCCTGATATGTTTTCTCTTTAAAAATATATATATTTCTTAAGTCAGATAGAGAAAGACAAATAGTATATGATCTCACTTACATATGGGTTCTTAAAAAATGGAGCTCACAGATTCGGAGAACAGATTGGTGGTTACCATTTTCACTCAACAAAATGAGTGAAGGTGATCAAAAGGTACAAATCTCCAGTTATAAGAAAATAAATCCTGGGGATGTAATGTGCAGCATGGTGAATATAGTTCACAATACTGTATTATATATTTGAAAGTTGCTAGAAGAGTAGATCTTAAAAGTTCTCATCATAAGAAAACAAAAATTTGTATCTATGTGTGGTAATGCATGTTAACTATACTTTCTGTGATAATCATTTCACAATATATACATATATCAAATCATTGTGTTATATGCCTAAAACTAATACAGTGTTATATGTCAAATATATCTCAACTTAAATAATATTTCTTAGCTTTGTTCACTGAAAACGCTTAGAAACAATGACCAGTCAGTAGCACTCAGCACCCTGAGCACAGACTATGGTCTCTAAATATCATTTTCTCCTCAAAGGAGCCATGACTTTGAATGAGTGGCTAATGTCAGGTCTGGGGCAGGAAATGTACAAGATAAACCCGGAATAACTTGTCACATCAGAAGGAAAGAAGCCATCAAAGGCTTCTGGGGTCCTGTCAAAAGGATTCAAAAGACAATACTAGCTAAAGAAGGGATAATTTGAGTATTGATAATAATAGTAACTGCAACGAATTAAAACATATCAAATATCTGTAAGAGTGCAAGGTCATACGTACACTAAAAAGCAAGTCTAATTGATCACCTTTTAAGCCTAACTTTTCTGTACAAATTTATACCTCAGGGAAACCCAAATGGTTGATGAGGGAAGTTTTCTCTCCCAAAGTATTTCAGTCAGTAAAATAAAGGAGGGGGCTGGGAGGAGGTGGAGTGAATGGGGAGCAAGAGGGGTGGGCTGATGTCCAATCATGTGTGCCTGTACAATTGCATTCGACTCAGAATGAAAGAAGGGGTGACCACCATGGGTGAACCCCAAACACATGATGTTGAGCAAAAGAATCCAGATACAAAAGAATACATTCTGCATGATGCCATTTGTATGACGTTCAGAAAGAGTCCAAAGAATCCAGATACAAAAGAATACATTCTGCATGATGCCATTTGTATGAAGTTCAGAAAGAGTCGATAAAAATCAAAGAGATGATTGCCTTTAGGGAGTAGGGACTCCTGGAAGGGGGAATGAGGGAACTTTCTGAAGGTGATGAAAGTGTTCTATATCTACATTGGCATATTGGTTATACAGGTGTATATAGTTGTCAAAAGTCATCAAAGCATATACATTTACGATATGAATACATCACAGAGTGTGTATATATATATATATATATATACATATATTTTTTAAATTTTAATTTATTTTTTGGCTGCATTGGGTCTTCATTGCTGTGCTCAGGCTTTCTCTAGTTGCGGTGCGCAGGCTTCTCATTGCGGTGGCTTCTCTTGTTGCGGAGCACAGGCTCTAGGCACGTGGGCTTCAGTAGTTGTGGCTCGCGGGCTCTAGAGCACAGGCTCAGTAGTTGTGGCGCTCGGACTTAGCCACTCTGCGGCATGTGGAATCCTCCCGGACCAGGGATCCAACCCATGTCCCCTGGCTTGGCAGGCAGATTCTCAACCACTGTGCCACAAGGGAAGTCCCCTATATTTTACCTTAATAAAAATGTTTCAGGACTTCCCTGGTGGTCCAGTGGTTAAGACTCTGAGCTTCCACTGCAGGGGGCATGGGTTCCATCCCTGGTCAGGGAATTAAGATCTCGCATGCTGTGCAATGCAGCTGAGAAATAAAAAGTTTCATAATTTTTTCTTAATTAAGAAGAGAAGAGGGGTAGTGGGCAGTAATTTTGAGAAACTTTTTAAAGTTGATCTCTCCATTCTCTGGGCCAGCTCCACTGGTGGCCTGCTTAGGCTGCCAGTGTGGGATGTTGCGGGGGTTAAGTAGAGGGATCTCAGAAGTTTTCGTGAGCTGGGAGAGGTGTGGTTACTCCATAGAGCTCTGTGGTGGGCTTCAGTGCCATGGAAGGGCTTCAAGCCACCACAGAGCTTGGCTTCAGGCATCCTTGGAAAGCCACAAGCAGTGGTGGTGGAGCCATGGCTGGATGATGGGAATCTGGGCCCTGCCCTCTGCAGCCTCCAGCCAGAGTCCATGGTGTGTGCGCCTGTCATCGGCTTTTTAGTGGGTCTCATATTTGTTTAGACTTGTCTAGTTGTCTGGAAGCTGGCGTCATGTGAAATGGGAAATGCTGCTTTCACAATGCTGGCTGAAATTTCACAAACATTGGCATAACAAATTCAAGAGAAGTGTCAACTCCTTGGCAAGGATGGCACTGTTCAAAGGGGGACTGTAGCAACTGAGTCATCTTTGGAGGATATTAGCCTAGAGAAAGAGTCAACAAAAATTCAGAGCCTGGCAGACACCTATGGAATGCTGACGAGTACCAACTCTATCCTGAAGGAGGAAATAATAAAATAATACTTCCCTAATAAAAGAAGTAGATGAAAGATCCAGACACTCAAGAAAAAAGGAGCTGATGGCTGAAGTTGCAAGAATGATCTGGTCACTGAACTAGGAGTCACCACATCACAATAAATTTTCCAAACAATAACTCCCTGTTGTCCCTCCAGATGGTGGCCTTGTGCTGCCAGGCCACATTCACCCACCTCCCTCTAATACGTTATCGTCACTCCAGATGCAAGCAGTTCCTGTAGAGACCTCCTTTTCCTTCTCATCCTCCTCTGGGAAGAGCTTATAGAGCCCCCTTCTTGGGCAGGAGTTTCTCCTCTACCCTCAAATCCTAAAAACAGAAGTGAGTTCCTTTGAAGTTAGTCCGAACTTCAAATGAACCGACTATTGGAACCAACATCAAGAAACTAGAGACTTAAAATCAGGTCTCTTCAAAATGAATTTTAATCTCATTTGTTAGCATTTTAAAAACTTAAAGGGGGAGGCTTCCCTGGTGGCTCAGTGGTTGAGAGTCCACCTGCCGATGCAGGGGACACGGGTTCGTGCTCCGGTCCGGGAAGATCCCACATGCCGTGGAGCGGCTGGGCCCGTGAGCCATGGCCGCTGAGCCTGCGCGTCTGGGGCCTGTGCTCCACAACAGGAGAGACCACAACAGTGAGAGGCCCTCGTACCACACAAAAAAAAGACAAAAACAAAAACTTAAAGGGCCATACTTGTGCTCATAATAACAATCAATAGAACTTTAGTTCTCAGAATAGGGTTTGTAAAATTATTTTTATATAAATGTTATAATTAAATTATTTTTACTTAATTTTTCTCTATATATAATATAAATATTATGTTTTATTTAATTATACATGCAGTTTATCAATAGCATACAATTCCAAGAGGATTCTATAGTTCTTTAGAGGGTCCCAAGCAGGATTGAGCCTGAGCTGTACAGGGTGATAACCATTCAATGACACACATTTTATTGGCTTTCTCTTCTTGCCTGTATCACTCTCCATTTTCTGGGATTACCTTCCAAATAAGTTACATGCACCTGAGAGTATGTCTCCGGCTCTGCTTTCAGGGGAAACTAAGCTAAGACGGACATTGTAATGTACAGCCAGCCACACAATATATAACTAGGCCCTTCGGGCTGACTTTCCCTTGCCTTCTACTACAAGGGGTGTGGACACTGTCATCAATAAATGAAACTTAGTCACATCTTTCTGAACTGTAGTCCCCGTTGTTAGAAAGACAGCATGTAATGGGGACAGTGTCATCTCCAGGAAGTGGATGCCTCCGGTCCATGAATTCTCTAGACCCCTCCCATCCTGCCCCCTTTCACACGTTCCTGAATGTATCGGTCACATTAAATCAATGAGACTAACTGAGCTGCTCCTTCCTTATTCCACTGTTTCTCTGACATCACCCAGGAAATTACTGGAACCTTTGGTCTTAGCTGTCCCTCAACTGTGGTGCCGTCTCAACCAGTGTCTGCCAGGCTAGTAATTCGTTTTCAGTAGAGAAGTAGCAAGCAGCTACATTGGGTAATTTTAGGGGCCAAGAGCCTCAAGTTCTACACTTAAGCCAATCCTGATATACGTCAGAGACCATCTCATTAGAGCATTTATTGCACCCCATCAATCTTGTGGTGCAATAAACAAGACCGAGCAGAGTACAGCATAGAATACCAAGCATGAACACCGTCTTTTTTTTTCTTTTTTTTTTAATCACCTGCAGCCTTTCAGGCCAACATATGCTTCTCTGAACTGAGAGCTTCGGAAGTAGCATAAATGTTAGTGGCAAGCATCTCTGGGACTTATGCTCACAGGCCTTTAGATTGCCAATAAAGGCGATCTTGCAGAGACATTCTTAAAAGTCTAGTGATTTTTGGCTCTCTGTTCTTATTTAAGAGAGAAACACCAAAAATGGCTTGGAAACTTGGCCAGGATGTTAACTAGTGGCTTCACTGTACAGTTTACTGTAGATCTGTACTCAGGCCTTACTTTGTAGATGCCCAAATGTTAGCATCTGTAGGGTTTTTTTCTCTTGGGCTAGTTTTCTGTTTGTTTGTACTGTTGTTATTGTTCTGTATTTCAGGAGAGGGTGTAAACCTGGCTGCTATTATTCTAGGAGCTGAGTAAGGGCAGGGGACTAAAGTTCTCACAACTCAGTATGTAAAATTTAACTTTACCTCCCTGTTTTACCTTTTGTCTTACTTCCCTGAAATATTCCTGAGGCTAGAGCTCTGTTTCGATTTTTCCAGTGAGAATACCTGGAATGTCTTCTTCTGTTGGGGTGGGAAAGGTTTAGGTGCCTGGCTATGCAATGTTAGGGCTGGCATCTAGAGAGCTAGCTGCTTTTTATTAGACTTTCAACTAATCTTGTTTTTAATCCACACCCCATTCAAAGTGACAGGTGCCTCCAATTCTGCAGCCGTTCTTGTCTTGCTTTATGGCTTTTCCGATGGCAGATGCTTAAATTTCAGCTTTCTCTGCTTTTTTAAGTTTCCACTTGTCCACCTGCTTGCCATTTTCCAAGTTGTATTCTAGCAGCAAATCACCTATCTGAAAAGACTACCTATCTCAGCCTCCTTTGCATATAGTTCTGGCCAAAGGGGATATGCTATGAGAAACATCAGGAATGGCCCCTTAACGGGATTTGATTCGGCTGTGGAGCACATCCTTTTATCCTTCTCTTCTCCCTTCTTCCTACTGCCTGGAATGTGGACATGATAGCTAGAATGCCAGCAATTATCCTGAACTCATGAGGGAACCTTGAGGAAGGAAGCCACATACTGAGGATGACAGAGCAGAAATATAGAAGCCTTGGTCCCTGGTGGCTGTGGAGTTACCCCAGACTAACAGCAGACTTCTTTTATACTAACAGTAATTCTGATAAATTCTATCATGTACAATTTCCTTCAAAAGAGGGGGAAAGACTATGATACATTGATAATTGTGTACATTGCATTACTGAGTATGTTGCCGACAGGACAGAACTTCTTTTTGACCAGGAGGATAAAAATAGACTTCTCTCTCCCTAACAATTTTACATATCTAGTGATTGGAAGAATTTCCAATAGACTGACTCATACCTCCTTTCCTTTTAATCTTTGTATATATGGTGCCATCCACTGCAGTATAAAGTCACATTGCAATGTAACCTCTGGCCCTGCACCTTTACATGACAGGATCCCAGGTGAGTTGGCACAGAGGGCAGTAGGAATATTCCTGGGAGCCATTTCTATTCCTGGATGGCTAGCAATACTTACCTCTACACAGAAATACTGCACCACACATAATCACATTCCACGAAACCCAAACCAATGTATGCTCAGTTCAACTTCCCATTAACTGGATCCCATTAACTGGCCACACTGTGGCCATTCCAATGTGACATGACTAAGGGAAGTCTATCAGAAGGAACATCAGAATGGAAGGAAATAGAGGTCTTAACTGATCGTGATGGAAATATCTTCGGCGAATTTTACTCAAACATATGACCACATGAGATCATTTCTAGGCCCTTAATGGGCTTGGAAGGAGTCCGTGTAAGTGAGGGACCCTGAAGCTTAAGCTCCATTAGCTTCACAGTATATTTGCCTTGGGTAGGACAGGTGGAATAACATTTAACAAACAGGAACACTTAGTTTATTTATGCTGTTGCAACCACAGTACCAGGAGAAACAACAGTCACTATGCCCAAAATTTCTTGTGTTGAATGGGACTTGGGGACATTCTTTTATTCACAAACCCAACACTTCTCTGTGGTCTTAATCACTGGCTTCTGCATAAATTCCTCCCAAATTTCACTTCTGTTTCTCCTTCTTTTTTTTTTTGTGGTTGCAGGAACTTCAAACTGTGAGGTCTCATCCTCTTTGTTGGACCTATTTCCAAGTATCTTGCTGACCAAGACACATTCTTAGCAAATGAGTCATGTTTACCTAAACCTGCTAATTCAGTACAATTTATTTCTAACTTATTAATACACAAAGTAGTTTTCAAACACATATATCCACATGATGCTTTAATCCTTTATATAACTTCTATCCAGATATATCATGCAAAATTTTATACTCAGAAAAGTTCCATGTTTTATATACTTATTAATTTTATAAATTTCCTCAGAATATATTCTTCTTTTGATCAATTCTACACTTCATTATAAGTTAAAGAAAATGGCAGTGTAGCAATGGGATGGTGGATGATTTCTCTGGTATGAGTAGCAGAGGCTAAAAGTAGAACCATTACTACAGTACTTTCACCTTACAGAGCAGTCGATATTTTTCATAAGATTTTTCCTCTGGATTGTTCTGCCAGCTTTTTAGGTTTTTCAACCTCCACAGGCTTGCTGTACTATCAGAATCGTGGGTTGGTTTAGCTGATTCTCTGTAGAGAATAACTGCTAATAATTGCTGTTTCAGAAAACAAGTCAACCAAAGTTAACTAACAAACACTTGCTGAGATTCTATATTGATTTAAAAATATACAATAAAGCTAATGGAAATATTAGTACCGTCCAAAAGGGACATAAGAAGCACTTTATAGAAAGAATTTAGGAATTTGAAACTAGATTCTAGGTTAACGTTTGAGGAGTTTGTTTATTTCACAGTGTTAGTATGTGAAGATCAAATTCTCTTGGCTTAGCAGCTGTGATGGATCATCCTATTGTGCAATGTAGAAACTCAGGTTTAATATGATCTCACATAAAACTCATTTAGCCATTAATTGAAAATAGACAAATAGGCTGGTCATGGATTGGCAATTTTGGCCTTTTTACTTATTTAATTTAGCCTAGTTTGTTTTCTTCAACTTCACCTTCATTGAGCATTCCTGGGTTAAAAAAATGCATATTTGTTTGTGTGTTTAATTGTATTTATTGCATTTAATTTTAAATGCAATACATTTTAATTAAAAAAATAAAGCTATTTAAATAAGACTACAGCAGTAGTAACATTTCACAGCTGCAAAATGTCTCCTTATTCCCCCTCTTTTTCTCTGTCTCCCCTTCATACACATTGCATTGTTTCTCTTAATAGTTTCTCTAGTATTCTAAAATTATGTGGCATAAGGTCTGTCTCTTTTAATGATGAATATAAACCTTGGACATTTCAGTGTAGTAACTTTGACTTCAGGCCTTTTATTCCCACTTCAAATATAATTTTGGTTCACTTCCATTCAGTGGTATACACTGTTCCACGATTAACTTTGTTCTGTGCTGAACTCTGGTACTAAATGTTATGTTCAAATCTGGGCTTCAAAGCTTTCAAAGCAACATGATAGATCCATATTACATGTCCTCATGATTGCAGATCTCGGCATGGTCAAGTGTTCCTGGAGAAAGAAGCTGACCTCTTGGCAACAACAACTCTTGGGTAAAATTATAAACTAATTTTGGACAAGAAAAAAAACAAGAGCATCAATTGCTACCATTTGGTATGAGTTAGACAATGATAAAATATTTGTTTTTGTGAAATGATAATAGAAGTGACATTCTAGATTTTAAAAAATTGGCCAGCTATCATATTTGCCTGAAAAAATTAAAATATTGAATGAAATATCTCTTCTCTCATAATTCAGCTTGACTAAAATTTTCTCCTAAGCCATATTAATTTATAACAAATGAAGCTAGTTTTAGTGACGCTGAGTAGCTTATAATAATAACAATAATTAAATTTTGTTAGTTGACATAAAACGTATTAGAGCAAATAGGACTGTGAAATGCAGCTTTTGAGGAACACTTTAATCTGATTCATATTTATCACTATGAAAAAACATGAAATTTCAAGGAATGATCTCTTGAAAGGAAATGAACATTTTCAATTCTAATGTTATCATAAATGTATATTAAGAATTTTTAATTTCTCAAGAAAAATACTCAGGAAGCCCTTATGAAAAATTTATCTAATTCTGTTAGGTGTTTACCATACGCGTCTCTTTTTAGAAATACTTATTATTATAGCCTATAATGGAATATCAGAATAAATCATCTGCTTTACTGATATGTAGTAGCTTGGACTCTGCTGCTGTTTGGTGTGTGTTATGGACTGAACTGTGTTCCCCCAAATTCACAGGTTTAAGCCCTGACCCCCAGTGTGATTGTCTTTGGAGATAGGACCTTTAGGGAAGTAATAAAGGTTAAATGAGGTCATAAGGATGGACTCCTTATCTAATAGGATTGGTGTCCTTATAAGTAGAGGAAAAGACACCAGATACCTCTCTTTTTCTCTTTCTCCACCCTACTCCCTCTCTTCCTCCCCACCAGAGATGGAAGGTCATTTGAGGACAAAGTGAGAAAATGGCTGTCTGCAAGCCAGGAAGAGAGGCCTCACCAAATACCAATCCTGACAGCAACTTGAGCTTGGACTTCTAGCCTCCAGAGCGGTGAGTAAATAAATTTCTGTTGTTCAAGCTACCTAGGCTCTGGTATTTTGTTATGGCAGCCTGGGCAGACTAATATAGTAGATAAAGGCACAGTACAGACATAAAAGGGCTGTACATTTTATAAAATTCTGAATCTGCAGATTGGCAAGGTCTGATGTGATGCACAGTGTGGAGATGGCAGCACCAGATTCACCCTGGAAAGCATCAAAATACCACTTTTGAACAGAGGCGATATTTCCAGTTAAAACATTACAACATAAGTAATTTGATGGTGGTGATGCATCGACTTCATTCAGCTGGTCACTAAATTACAGATGCTAACAGTATTTCAAGAACTGCAGAAGAGACTGGGGACGTGCAATTTCTATTATTGTTGATATTTCGATTATTGTAGAAATTCTATTATTTTCTTTCAAAGCACTTTGGATGCCTGGACTTTTGCAAATGGAGAGATGCAAGGCAAGGGCTTGATACTCTTATAATTAACATTTTTGAGTGCTTACATGATTATACATGCCAGGCCCTGTTCCAAGTGTTTACATAAACTGACTTTGTTTAATTCAGATAACAACCTACCTGTGAGATTGCTATATAGGGACCATTACTTCCATTTTACAAATGAGGAAATGTTTACGATGTATTACATTTAAAGATCAGAGGGACTTCCCTAGTGGTGCAGTGGTAAAGAAGCCGCCTGCCAATGCAGGGGACATGGGTTCGATCCCTGGTCCGGGAAGATCCCACATGCCACAGAGCAACTGTGTGCCTGTGTGCCACAACTACTGAAGCCCACATAATCTAGGGCCTGCGTGCCACAACTACTCAGCCTACATGCTGCAACTACTGAACCCCGCATGCCTAGAGCCTGTGCTCTGCAACAAGAGAAGCCACCACAATGAGAAGCCCACGCACTACAATGAAGAATAGCCCCCGCTCGCCACAACTAGGGAGAAAGCCTGCTCGCAGCAACGAAGACCCAACACAGCCAAAAATTTTTTAAAATAATAATAAATAAAAATCAGAAATAAGGAAAATGATATTTAAAAAGAAATTAAGAGAGCAAAAGGGAGAGTGGGGATGGGAGAAAACAATCAGAATCTAGGTTGTGCTAGGTCCTTTTTTCTCCCCACCCATGATCAACTAAATCACAGTGAAAAGCATGTCTTACTAGTAAATTGTGCTTTAAAAAAGAAAATATTTTATTGAAGCAGATAAGCAGCATGATTAAAGAATGGGATCCTAGGGGAGTATCTTTACCCTAGAATGGGTCTTACCCATAACTGAGTCTAATCTCCTCATTTTACAGGTGAGAACCTGAAGGACCCAAGGAGACACGGGTAAAGTGTCAAGGACCTGGATGAGATCCATCTCTTGTTGCTACATAAACAGAGGCTACACAATTCACAGGCATGTTTTTAAAATGCGAACTCGGGCTTCCCTGGTGGTGCAGTGGTTAAGAATCTGCCTGCCAATGCAGGGGACACGGGTTCGAGCCCTGGTCTGGGAAGATCCCACATGCTGCGGAGCAACTAGGCCCGTGAGCCACAACTACTAAGCCTGCGCATCTGGAGCCTGTGCTCCGCAACGAGAGAGGCCGCGACAGTGAGAGGCCTGCGCACCGCGATGAAGAGTGGGCCCCGCTCGCCGCAACTGGAGAAAGTCCTCGCACAGAAACGAAGACCCAACACAGCCAAAAAATAAATAAATTTAAAAATGCAAACTCAACTATAATGTTACCATAACCACTAATATTCAAATGGTCTCAGCTACTTCTTAAGCTAAGCTAGGAACTATCCCTAGAGTTGAGCAGAGTCCCCTGAAACCTTTTAACTTGGAAATCACCATGCTATGGGAGAAATATCTACAGCACTTGAAAAGGCTTTGAGGTTCTCGCAGGCACTTCTTTTTCAATAAGCCACTTTACTGAGGTATGAATGACATACAAAGAGCTATACATATTTCACGTATATGACTTGATGATTTTGGATCTAAGTATATACCAATGAGACCATCACCACAATCTATGCCATAAACATATCCGTCACCTTCAAAAGTTTCCTCCTGCCTTCTTTATTATTATTAATTTTTGTGATAATGACACTTAACATAAGATCTACTCTCTTAGCCAATTCTTAATATTGTCAACACAGGCACTATGCGTTCAATAGAAAAGGACTTTTTCATCTTGCATAACTGAAACTTTGTACCCTTTGACCACTTCTCTCCAGCCACTGAACCCTCTAGCTTTGCTCCCGTTTCAATTTAACCAAGTGCCAGAAACTTATTTTGTGTCATATTAACAAACGGTAAATATTTTAAATGTTATCCAGTAAAAAGACTTAACTTGGATTTTGGATCTTTTCTGGTCTGCTACAAGTTTCCACCAGTGTCTCCTCTTTCCTTATTTTGGTCTCACACTTTGTAGCAAAACAGAAGAGGAAGCACTTTATGTAGAAGACCTTTGGGAACGCTGTAATTGCATTTTTCCTCATCAGTTTTATTGGATATTTCCAGTTTGCTTCCTATTTCGTGTTCCATCATACCTCTAATTGTTAGATGTTTCCTAATTTTTAGACCACACATTTTAAACTTTACGTATGGCTCTTCGTTACCACATCTTTTATAAAACATCTTGAGTATTTTAAGCACCCTGTGACCATCCACGTAATCCATTCCTGCTAGTAACTTAAAATAAGTAACGCCAAAATAACTGAGAAGTTTGAGAGGTGAATCCTTAGTAGATACGCACATGGTGAAAGTGTACACATTGCTTAAGAGAGGAATCACTTGAAGGACCCTCAAGCACTGCATTGGGTCCAAGTTCTAAATGTTGTATCAAGAAGGGCAGGGGAGCCAAAAAAGTTCTCTCCATTTTCCCAAACCATAACCTTAGGAGAGAAATGTTCTCATCCAGCACAAGCCGGGCTGTGTCTTCACAGTGTTCCCCCTCAGGGAATCAGGCAGAGGAGAAGCCTTTCCTCTGAGAGAACCTCACTGTCCTCATTTCAGTAACGGTTATGTTCAGCAGAGCAGCTAATCTCATTGCCAAGAGGGAGGGAAGTCAAAGGGAGCCTCAAGTAACTTAGTACCAGGACATTCCAGGCTTTAAAATAGCTGCCTTTACCTCATGGGCCATTTGAAGAAATCTATATAGAATTTGAAAACAAGCTGTAATAGAACCTTACCCAACAGAAGCAAGGTCCTGCCAGACATTTTTGCTCATTTCCTTTGCTTTTATTTTCCAGAGTTTCTTCCTCACCTTAAATTTTTTCCTGCCTACTCACTCACTCCCTGGATGGTTTAATTCTCTTCTGGGTATAACCATTATGCACAGTAGATACAGGGACATGCACTTTCCTTAGCTCCCCCACTTTCCTTAGCGCCACTGCTAGTCTTTTGGATGGTGGCATCCACCTCCTCTAACACACATCCATCCACTGGCCCCTTACACTCCCATTGCCCCTATGTGGTTGAATGATTTTACCATCCACCTAGCCGTTCACACTAGAAAACTCAGTCATCCTGCCTCCTTTTCTCCATCACGTCCCCTTCCTCCAAACACATTCCATCAGACATCAGGTTTGGCCACTTCTGTCTGTGGAATGTTTCTGGATTCCAGGGACTTTGCAGGAAGCTTTTAGCTTGTCTCAGCTCAAAGTCTCTCTGTTTCCATTTATCTTCCACATTGTCATCAATTATTCTTCCAGAACAAAAATCTGGTTTTACTTTTCTCCTGCTTAATAACATCCGATAGTTATCCACTGTCTGGATAGAGTTTTATCTCTTTAACAATTTATACGCAATTCCTCTATGTCCCTTCCCCACCCCATCAAAATTCACCTTTCTCCCTACCTGTTCTCTTGGTTCACTGCTTTCTGCTAAATGACAGCCAGCTTTCCCAACACCTTAGCCCAGAAGTGGTTTCTATTTTTTTCTTTTTTAAATATTTATTTATTTGGCTGCATCGGATCTCAGTTGGAGCACATGGGATCTTCCTTGCGGCACGTGGGATCTTTTAGTTGCGGCATGTGGGATCTAGTTCCCTGACTAGGGATTGAACCTGGGTACCCTGCATTGGGAACATGGAGTCTTAACCACTGGACCACCAGGGAAATCCCCAGAAGTGGTTTCTTTTTTTTCTTTTTTTAAATAAATTTTATTTATTTATTTATTTATGGCTGCGTTGGGTCTTCATTGCTGCGCGTGGGCTTTCTCTAGTTGCGGCGAGCAGGGACTACTCTTCGTTGCGGTGCGAGGGCTTCTCATTGCGGTGGCTTCTCTTGTTGCGGAACACGGGCTCTAGGCGTGTGGGCTTCAGTAGTTGTGGCTCGCGGGCTCCACAGCATAGGCTCTGTAGTTGTAGCGCATGGGCTTAGCTGCTCCGCAGCATGTGGGATCTTCCCGGACCAGGGCCCGAACCTGTGTCCCCTGCACTGGCAGGCAGATTCTTAGCACTGTGCCACCAAGGAAGTCCCAGAAGTGGTTTCTTAATGTGCTATCTAGTTTTTCATTCCATTTCTTTTTCTGGGTTCTCAACATATTTTTGTCTTCTCATTTAGGTCATGCTTTGCAAGACTATGTTGAGGATTTTATTGTATTCTAATTAAAATAATATCAACCATATCCAAGTCTGTTGTCTTGCCAGAAAGGGTTCTGAATCTGAAGTCCAGAATAATATCCAGTCTAGTCTTGTACAATTTGGCTAGTATTTCAGCCATGGACAACGTTGCTTTCCCAAGGTAAAGGAAATATTTGATCTACTATCCCCACCAAAGCACTCATTTGTCATGAATTTGCTGTCCTTAAAGTTATGGAGTTGGGTGTCATGGCGGCTGGTTTCCCGAGCAGTGAGAGAAGAGGTATCTTTCTACTTTCAAAACCAGTTCTTTGATGAGAACTCTTTCTACCCACCTTCCCTCCAAAGCAAAGGTCAAAATTAACACCTTAATACTGAACTCTGGGTATTGTATTATTTTTTTCAGATATAGCACCTACTAAAGGAAGAGAAGTATTCTCCATTTTTTTAATGTTTCTGGTAAAAAGAATTACAGGCTCCTTAGTAGCAGCACATAGAGGTAGACAGTTGTATGAACATTATGGATATAAATGAAAGTGATAGTAAGAATTACTGAGTTGATCAGATTCAAGAAGGCCATATGTCCTACTCTATCAACTTCCAGAAGCCATTCTTCCTGCCTCTCAACTCCCAGAGGTAAAGGACTGAGAAGTCTGGGGAGAAGCATCACATTGATACACACAGTATCTGCAGGCAGTCGGCATAGTTGAGTGGTTAATTGCTACCATTACTCAATTAGCTTATTAGATTCAAGAATAATCAATCAACAAACATTTATTGACGAGGAAGGGCTGTATCACCACCGCACCATGTTAGGTGTTGGGGAATACAATGAGAAAGCAAAGGAGTTTAAAGACTAGAGGGGAAGATACATATTGAACAAATTATCACAATTTATTAAATAAATTAATTTAAGGATACAATAAGTAAGAAATATAGGCTGCCAACAATGGAAAACCAACACATACATGCATGCATGTGCATACACACAGAACAGAGCTTGAAATGAATCTATCTTTTCTCTACCTCAAGTGACAGCTTTATTAATTCATAACACGCAATATAAATAGCAGCTTCTATATAGAATTTATATGTACCCCTTTTCTGTTGTTGTTTATAGCTGCCTGATAAGAGCAAGCAAACATGGGTACTACTGGTGGCAACAGGCAGGGTTGCTGCAGTAAATTTATTCAAACTGAGTGATATTTATGGGTTCTCATGTAAATAGACAAGCTGTAGATGCATTTAAGAATTTGGATGTCTACTTACATAAACAATAGAGCATGGTGGCTGAAAGTAGCCCACTGGAGCCAGACTGGCCTCTGTTCCATACTGGATCCACTACTTAATAGCTGTGTAATCTCAGACAGTGCATCTGTAAAGTGAAGATAAATAATCACATTAACAACCTCATTGGTTATTATGAGAATTAAATGAGTTAATACTCGTAAAGCACTTAGCACATGTTAAGCTCCTGCCACAGAGTAAGTGCTCTACAAATGTCACCTACTGTATTTGCTCAAACAAGGCCATTTTTTAGCCAACTATCTGAACACAATAATACTGAATCTCATAGTCGCAGAGGGGATTTTTGTGGAAGTGTATCTCAGTAAGGTTTATTAAGCATAGACAAGGGGGTCAGGAATTTAATACCACATTTGTTGTCTTTAGAGCTGCGTTTCAGTTAGGGTGTTGCCTGAGAATGACAGTATTTTCTGATTTAGAATGTGACATTTACTCTGATATTGTTAATATGTGTAGTAGTTAAAAATAGTAGTAGATAGTCTTCATGTATGTTAGCTTCCTTTAGACTTATTTTGAAAAAATACATTTGTCTTATTATATGAATATATTGTGTCCCATTTAACCAAATTGTAACAAATGAAGGAAAGAGGAGATAGAGTATGAAATGTTGATGGAAGCTTTTACTATGTGGAACACCTTAGAATATAAATTTCTACAGTGCTATTAATAGTTATATCATCAACAACATTTTTTCAGACTTTGTGCTTCACTCTGGAGAAAAGAGTACGGCATCTTGAATTTCTTCACTGGGTAATTTAAAACCGAGTTATAATGTGGACACCAACTGCACATGTTACTTGAGTTCAGCATCAAAGTTGTAAACGAAAATAGTAAATATGCTCTCTCTCGAAGCTGTTACTATTTAACAAAACACATTCAAATCAACAAAATAGTATGAATATATATGACCATAAATGTTTTTATTAACTATTTTGGGCTTTTTAAAAAACCTCATTTTAAATACTTAATTCTAATTCTACTCTACTCAAGTAGACTATAATAGCGAATACATATCTAGTGCTTACTATTTACATTCCAGCTGCTGTTCGAGTTACTAGTAAGTTCTGATTCTAATAAGAAAGCCATATACAGCAGTTTCAGCTTTTATGTAACACAGTTAACCTCAGGGAGAAGAAAGTGAGGGCGTTCCGAAAACTTAACTACGTAGTCTATAGACCAGTGTTCTTTGTAAAACATTTATATCGACACCCAGTTTTAGGAACTAAAACCCTTGTATAAATTTGTATTACTATTCTAAAAAAAAAAAATTTGTATTACTATTCTAGAAAGGAGAGTGCCGTTTTTCAGGGGACTATATTCCACTTGGTCTGTCTCTGAGGCCTATTAACCAATAAAACCGTTCTATTCTGCTGCTCTGGGACATAAGCAACAACGAAAAGGAGTAATGACCTTAGACCATAAATAAGTTGTCAGGACAGCCAAGGGGACGAAGGAGAGACGATTAGCGCCAGGACTCGGGTTCCTCCCAGCGACCGGCGGCAGAAGGGGCGGAGCACGTTTCCGGCGTGGCGCTGGAGGCGGGGCGCGGAGGCTCTGGGGTGGGTCTCCCGGGAGCTGCGGAGACAACCTGCGCAGGGAACGCCGGGGGTGTGCGCAGACTCAGTCGGCCGCCTGGAGGGAGCGACCTAGCGGGCGGTCGAGAAGAGCGCTGACCGGTCACCGGTTGTGAGCACGATGAGACCCGGAGAGGAGAGGCCGGTGGAGGGGGGCGCCTGCGCCGCCGTCTTCGAGGTGGAGCTGCTGAAGCTGCGCGCGGCGGAGTGCATCGACGAGGCGGCCGAGCGCCTGGGGGCCCTGAGCCGCGCGATCTGGAGCGAGCCCGAGCTGGCCTACGAGGAGCACCATGCCCACGACGTGCTGACGCGGTTCTTCCAGAGCGAGCGCCCGGCCGCGTCGTGGGCGGTGCAGCCGCACTACCAGCTGGTCACGGCCTTCCGTGCTGAGTGGGGGCCGCCGCGGGGCTGGGCGGCGCCGCGCCCGCTGCACCTGGGCTTCCTCTGCGAGTATGACGCGCTGCCAGGCATCGGGCACGCCTGCGGCCACAACCTGATCGCCGAGGTCGGGGCGGCGGCCGCGCTGGGCGTCAAGGGGGCCCTGGAGAGCCTCCCTGGGCCGCCTTTGCCAGTGAAGGTGAGGTGGGGCCCGGGCTTGGGATTCCCATCGCCAGCCCAGGCCGGGACCGACCCGAGAAGGGCGGGAGCCGGCGCTTCCCGTGTGCCTCCGTCCCTTCCCACCCCGGGGCAGGTGTAGGGGACAGCACTCGACGTCCTGGCTTTTTCTAGTAGGCAGAACCCCTGGATCAAAGTCAGTAGTTCATGAGTTGCCGACCTAGCGACATTTTGCAGATTTTTGCTTTTTCTCTCCTGCGTAGTTGTAAACAATTGAGTGAACTCTCTCCCTTAGGAAAGAACTTAGAACCAAGCCTGGTTTTCGTGATGGCTTATTTTTGGTAACAGGGGCAATCGCAATTTGCTGACAAGGTTGTGCAATCTCTGGGAGGAGGTAGTTATAGGGAAACCTGCAGACCCTCTTCGTTAGCCTCCAAAAAATCTTTTGTTTGTGGCAGTCCTAGGAGCTGTTGTGATTAGAATCATTGGAATTTGGATAGGAAATGTTCAGTCGTTAGAACTACAAAACCTCTAGAAGTATACAAAAAATGGGAAGAGAGTGAACATTAACTACATGATCCTTAAGTCTTAAAGTTTATTTCGCGATTTTAAGATATAGCTCGATCCTTTAAACGGGGAAGTGTTTATGTTAGCCACAGGGCAAGTTTAACCTTGTGTTACTCTGTTTTTCCAGGTGGTATATTCTTTCTGTGGGCTAAGATTGAATCACCACTGCTCAGGTTAAGGGGAAGACTAATGTTATATTTTAAAATTCTTTAGCCCATTTTTTCCAGTGTCAGTAACCTTTCTCTTTTATCCTTACAGTTCCATCTTTTGTGGCTTTTTCTCTTTAGCTGCCTTCTCTTTTCTGCCTCTGGGCCTTGTTTTTCATCTGGCTAGGTTTTTGTTTTGTTTGGGGGAGGAGGTGTCCTTTGCCATTGCATGAAGCACTGGAGAGATTTAGCTTTAACCAGGTTTATGAAAGGTTCAGAGAAGTCAACAAGATTTAACCTGAAAAGTCATCAGATTTCATGAGTCAAGGGTTAAGAGTAAAAAGCAATTTAAGAGTTTGGGTGCTTTATAACTTCTGACTAAAGCAAGACTTTGGGAAATACACACACTTCTGATTTTGAATGGTAATACTCAGTTTTAGTAAGGTTATCTGTCTTATCTGAAAATGGAATTTATGTTGATTCTCTTTGCAAGCCAAGAACTTTTCCAACTTGTTTCATTGTGTTCTTATACGTGACCTTGAAAGTATATTAGTTGTTTATAATTTTTCTTTGCTTTTAAAAATTGTTTGAAGAAGTTAAGTGTAAATATCAAAGTAAAATGTTTATTCTGTAAAGTTCTCTTTTGTTTAATTAGGTGTTTGGTGACCAATAAATCTGCCTGGTTGAGCTGGTGGAATCGAATTAGTAAGTTTGTGTAATAGTTGGCCGTTTCTAACCGTGGTGTTAAGATTTATTCAATGCTTTTCATAAAGGATGAATGTGTTAAGACCTTCTAAAGAGGTAGTTTGGTAAGGAAACAGAGTTCAGGCCTGAAGGTCAGGGTATCTAATCCCAGCTCTGCTTTAAGCCTTGCTCTGTGATCTGGGGCAAGACATTTCGCTCCATGCCTCAAAACCACCCTTCCTAAAATGAAGATACAGATCGCTCACCTACCTCACAGGGTTGTTGTGAGGATAACTAATAAGTAACTAGAAAGTTCCTTACCAGTAAAAGGCTTATGAATAATTATATACACATATACTAAAAGACAGTCAAAAATAAGCTTTAAAAGTAAGTCCTAAATAATTTTGAGGAACTTAGTATATAGTACTTATCTCTTTTCATCTTTGACATTAGTTCTATAAAATTGTGTTATAAGATTGGGAAAAGTTTCCTATAGAGGCTTTAGTACATACTTTGAGCCAAATTGGTATAATAATGTCAATTGCAAGTTTGTGGTGAATTTAGCACCGTAGACTTATGCCCACTGCCTTATTTGAGTCAGAGAACAAAACCTCTCTTCATAGTTTGATTTAGATTGTGAATACATATGCAAGGGAACCTGACTGATATTGCCTGCTAGGATTTTTTGTTGCTCTGACACAGGTATTTCTTTCTAGGTAATTGTTCTGGGAACCCCTGCAGAAGAAGATGGTGGTGGCAAAATTGATTTAATCGAAGCAGGGGCTTTTAAAAATCTTGATGTTGTTTTTATGGCCCATCCATCTCAAGAGAATGCTGCTTATCTACCTGATGTGGCTGAACATGAGTGAGTAATCAAGTTGAAATAAACTTCGTAGTGGAAAACAGGCTATTAGAATACTTTAGTGACTTAACTGTAGGCTAAAACTCCGTACTTCTGCATTTAAAAAGTAAATTGAAAAAAAACAGTAAATTGAAAGAAAACAGTAAATTGAAAGATAACGATGTGATTGATATTTGATTTCCATTGAACGACATTTGGTAGGCCCCTTCCAATTGAGATTTAATATGGTGTTCATAATTGAACTGTTAAAATACTGCCTAAAAAGCGTAAGAATAGCAAACAATATGTTGACACGTATGTTCTATTTTGAATTGAGAGGAATCTGGTTTCTGGACAATGTCTATCCTTTGATATGGAGTTGCATTTGCAGCTGAATAGATCTGCAAGAGACAGCTTTGTTAGACTTGGGAAGAAAACACACTTCTCTAGTTTACTTATTTTGAGCTCTTTGCAAAAAGGATAAATTATGTTCCTGACGAAAAAATACAGAAACTGACTAGCTGTGGATTTGATTGGAATTTGCCAATATATCCTTTTCTGATTTGTCTGGTGCTGAAACTGTTTTTTTCTTTTTTATCTTTCCCTCTGTTGAAAAGCTCACTTTTTTTGGTACCTAGGAGCATGCATCATTTAAGTGGTTTAAATTTTTTACATCAGAAATTTCAACCATAATAGTTAATGGTCCAGTTAGGGGTCTGGTCCCAAGGAGCCATGGCTCAGCTGCTTGAGGAAAACCCCATGTTCTCCTCTGCAGTAGCCTGGGAGTAATTGCAGAACCACCCCAGCAGTGCTTCTAGATTGTGTGTTCAGTTATCCTGCATTTCTCTGCATCCCTTGTTTTCAGAGGGTGACTATTTTAACTGTTCTGGTATTTTTGGTCTTATCACCAGGAATTGGTATTGTGACAGTAGGAAGAATCTTTCAACTTCCGTTTCAGGGATGCTGTACAGTAGTACACCTCTGGAAAACCTTAGAGGTTAGAAATCTCTGCCAATGCCTCTGGCTAGAAGGGACCAGTGGCTGCAGGCAGGCTTCCCAGTCCATTAGCCTTCTAGGATTTAGGTTTAGGTAGGCTTCTTGGCCTTGATTCTGAAGTCAGTCCATTGGGCCTCAGGCCTTTTCTTAATATCTGGCTTCTTAGATTTTTCATTTGCCAACTTTTAAGATGGAAAGGAGAGCAAGAACAAAAATTTAATTTAAAAAATTACTAATCTATTCATGCTAAAAATCTGTAACAATAAATAAGATAAAGCACTATGTCCCTATTAATCACCTTGTTTCACATCCAGTCCCTTTTCTAGAGATATATGTTCTCCCAGGACTTTGGGGGTATATTTATAGACATAACATAGGTACATGTATAAATTAAATCTTAAAGGAGGATTTTCCCCCCTCTGAAATAGTCTGCTAAATATATTGTTGATCTGGCTCTTGCTTTTTAAAATTAAACAATGTGTCTTGAATATCATTCCATATTAGTTTTTTTTAAATGTTCTTTTTTTAAAAAATAAATTTATTTATTTATTTTTGGCTGTGTTGGGTCTTCGTTTCTGTGCGAGGGCTTTCTCTAGTTGTGGCGAGCAGGGGCCCCTCTTCATCGCAGGCCTCTCACTATCGCAGCCTCTCTTGTTGTGGAGCACAGGGTCCAGATGCGCAGGCTCCGCAGTTGTGGCTCACGGGCCCGGTTGCTCCGCGGTATGTGGGATCTTCCCAGACCAGGGCTCGAACCTATGTCCCCTGCATTGGCAGGCTGATTCTCAACCACTGCACCACCAGGGAAGCCCTTAAATGTGCTTTTTAAGCCTAAAATACTAATGCTGATATAAAACAGGCATTAACATTTCTTTTCCTGTAGTTTATTGTGCTTTAATTTTACATAGATTTGAACCCTAGAAGAAATGGTGCTAGAGCCATTTTCATAAAGGACATCTTTTTCCATTTTATAATATTTATCACCAGTTTTGTTAAAATTCCAGTTTCTGAGTGATGGTGATAAGATATAGATCGAGGAAATAACAAGTATCCTAAAATTTAAAATATATATTTGGATTTTGTTTTTTAAATAGAATGTTTGGAATCAGTAAAGAAATGCCATGAGCCTCCTGAATCTAGCTCATTAAAAAAAAAAAAAAAA